GAAACGAAAAACAGTAACAAACAGATCGCTCTGCTTCCATCTATGAGCAACGACACACCAATTTATGAGCACCGTTTTGAGGATTATAAGTCATGGCAATAATGATCAACATTTCAATAACCAAGATGGGCATTTCATTCCGGTCGCTCCGCAGGCAGAGTCAAAAAAGTTGCTAGATTCAGAATGGCAGCTACATTTTTTTAATTCCCTTAACTTCATTTCGTATTACCTTCCTTAGAACAAGTACCATTTCGATATCGTTAAATCTATCGTAAGGCCTTGTTGATCAAGTTCTGCATTAAAGACTTTTCGTTATTTCTGTAGGATTTCTGTTAATTCTTACTGAAATAAAAACTAGAAATTGTCACAGAAAATACCGTCAGAAGACCTTTCGGTTAGTGTGGTGCGCAGAGTGATGATGTTCAAAACATATGTCTTTATGTTTGCAGCATTTCATGTAAAGACACTTCATTCTATGAAAGCTGAATCTACAATTCTAATTATTTTCAGTTCAATGTTTTCAATGCTGTTTCGCGAATTTTTCACTGATGATAGTGCTTATTAAAATTAAACTTTACCTTCTTGTAATCATGCATAAAATAAACAAAGATTAGTTTGTAACTTATTTGATGCATTTTCATAATGGAAACATTTCTGGCACCATTAAATTCATTATGTTTACCGTTGTCGTTGATCTCAATTTCCATTCCACCCGGCAAGTCCCTTGTTTCAAATGCAGAGTCAACAGAAAATATGTGGCAAACAATGTGTAGTCTCTTGTTTCTTTCTAGTGGAGCCAATTGTCGCTTTTGAAAAAAAAGTCGGGGAACCCGACCGCGCATGGAACTGGAGACCTCTCGAGACCAGTCTGACGCTCTGATAATTTACGCACACTCGTCTGTTATCCTAATAACTCTATGCTGTGCTTTCGACTTGATATCTGACAAAACTATAGTTTGCATTTAACAAAATCCATTTCTACTACGAATTGAAAACAAAACCTGTGGATTGTGCAACTTATCAATGCAAGACGAACGTATTGCTGTCAAAATTGTTTACTTTTCAGCGAAACACTATGCAGCATCGCATCTTGCTCTGCAATAAACAATTTTCAATAACATTGTTCTAGTTACCATAACTTTAGCACTTACGTGCTGAATTTTAAACTGGAGGGTAAAATGTATCAGTTCATACTAATACCTATTTTGCTTCTTCTGAGGGCAACTCGTCACTGGAAGTAATTTCACTTCTGACCTTCGATGATGATGAACTTGACTGATCTTTCATTTCCCAGTCGAATGGATCAGTATCATTAGTAACGCCCTGTTCAACAGCGATTTCTTTCATTAATTGAATCAAGTAATCATAATTTGGTTTATCGGCAAACCTTAAAATATACAGCGAAATTTGTCAGGTGTCTTAATTTGCAAATAAAAGAAAATGATTTCCTGAGTGAAGAAAACACTATAAAATGCGATAAAAATATGCATGATATAAAATTTGAGGCCTATCACATAAAAAAATCGATATTAAAATATAATGCTTATGGCGTATCAGAGCAGCGAAGCAACAATTTGTTTCGCACTTTACAGTGGCCGGGTTAAAACTGCTCACAAGAACTAAATGTTTTTATTAATTCCTAATTTTTTCAGCAATGAATTTACCCCACTAAACATAGATGCAACCAACCTAAAGACGTGTCGCAGGTCTATGTTTTACGATTAACAGGGTGTACAACGCATACAGTTCTGCTGTCTATGACGCGTGCACTACTGGGCTGTCATTCATCTGATTGCTAAATGAATTGCATAAATTGTTAATTTAAATGGATTTAAATTTTTTGAATTCAAAATACTGCTACGAAAGGTTCATTATGATTTTTGCTTTGACTGCATTTGCAACTGCGGAACATCGACGAAAAATGAGGAATATAAACGGCTTGACCTTGAATACACTTCGTGAAATATTGACAGAAAAGTCTGTTAGTGTCTGTTTTTTTTTGCGCTAACCTATGCGTCGAATTCCGCGCTGCTCCAGTGTTCCTGTTCCTCAATTGTTATAACAATTATCATGCATATTTTTCTCACAGCAAATCGCAAATATTTATTGTAGCATATGGCTGGTATATTCTTTTCCTATCCTAGACCGTCATTCAAAACATAGTTATACATTAACCATTTATTGTTTCCTGCCTTTCGTCACATACTTGGTTCGCTGTTATGGTCATATCGTGCAAATCGTGTTCAGTGTACTGTAAGTTACAATACACCGGTTGAATTTCGTCTCAGATTAAAGACAAATGGAAATATGGACAAGTCCAGCTACCAGTAGAATTCAAAAGTAACAAGGTCATGGATTCGAGAACCCGCGTTGCCCTATAGCCACAAGATTTCTTCTTTAATAGTTCAGTTCCCGATCTCCGTTGCCAACAGTAAAATGTCTTAAGAGACTTTTCATGCTTAAGAGAATGAGTGGAGACATTACACCGCGTGAGTCTAAAAAATGCGTTGGTCAGTTATTGTGAGTGGCGATTAGCAACACCGAGGTTTTATCTAACCCATATTTTAGCTGGTCTGAATTTGGAGACGATTGATATTACAATTCGTTAGCGCTG